GGGGGACAAGCCTGGAACTGAAAGAAGGCTAATTGTGTGTCTCCATCCCTGGTGGAGGCCACACCACAGAGAGACGGGGAGCGTGAGCCCTGGAGCCGGCTGGCCTGGGTTCAAACCCTGGCTTCCCCCTTACTAGTTGTGTGGCCTCCGGCAGCTGACAGCTGTCTCTGCCCCCCTTTCCTCACCTGTGAGGTGGGGATGGTAGCAGCATCTCTGACTTCTGTGAGTGGAGGCTCGGGACTGGCGTGGTGCGGGTAGGTGAGCACTCGGCAAGCGTTGCCTACGTTCCTGGGAGATGGTGGGCTGGGCTCTTCTCAGGGCGCCCCTCTGACCTGCGCCAGTGCCCAACAGATGGCGGCAGCAGGGCACTGCCGGTGGGTCCGAGGTTTGTGAAAGCTGGAGCAGGTGAGACGGGATCAGGGCCAGATGTCCCCGGCCGGCCTGTGGGCCTTTTGTCTGGCGTGCTTTGGAGCAGCATGTCCTGCTCTCCTCCGTCCAAAAAACGTCCCCCTTCCCTTGCCTTTTTTTAAAACATCTAATAAGGCCTGGCAGCTGCTTGGGGAAGGACACGCACACTTCAGGGGCACAAAGGAGCCTGCCGTGCTGTCTGACTTCTCAGCCCCATGATTGATGTCGGCCGTGCGCCCCAGTGCAGGGAGCTTGTTGTTGGGTTTGGGGGTTGTTTCTTGTGGGAGTCGAGGAGGGCATCCCCTTTTAGAACGTTAGCATTTCTTAAGGTGTCAGAGAACAATCCTGGGCCCTGGGTTTTGTGCTTCAAGGTGAGCATGTGTGCGTGCCTGCCCTGGAGGGAGACAGTTTGAGAAGCACCCTGGTTCGCTGGGACAGCGGGCACCAAGGAGCAGAGCAGGGACAAAGCTGTGCTCTAGTGGACTGGGCAGGTCAGCCAGATGGCCGCGGAGCCGCTCCATGGCCACGATTTGGGGTGCCTGCCCTGCCAGGTGGCATCTGTGACTGCAGAGCGCCTTCCTCGTGGATTCTGGACATGTGTGAGCTCAGCTCCGGCCTGCATTCTTGGGACAGAGCCCGGAGGGTGGCCGGGAGCAGGTGGTTCTGGGTTTCTTTCCCGCCGGGACCTGCTTCATAAATGTCTGCAGCATCTTGGAAGGAGTTTGGGGACACCCCAGTCTTCTTGCCATCACCCCAGGTTCTTCCTCTCTGGGGTTCAGGCCACACAAGGAGGATGTGCTTCTTTTTCGTAGCTCTGGCTATGTTCCCCAGGTTCACAGCCCTGCCTGGGGGCAGGGCCAGCTGCACAGAGATCAGGGTGTGAGCCTTGAGCTCATGCAGCCCTTTCCTGCTGAAAATGCAACAATACCTTCCCCACCCAACTCTGGGCTCCCTTCGATCCATCGCGGCTGCCTCTGGGACTAGTAACTGTCAGTGTTTGGCCTCTGGAACCCGGAGACCTGGGTTCAAATCCTGATTCTGTCACTTACCGTCTGGGTCCATCTTCCTGAGCCTTCAGTTTCCTCATTTGGAAAATGGGAGAAGGAAACACCTAACAGTGCCAGCATGTGGGGCTGGGTGCCCATGCTCCTGCCACGTCTCTCCTGTCCTCACAGCTACTCTCTGAGGCTGGGCTTGATATTATCCTCGCTTCACAGATGGGGAAACTGAGGCAAAAGCAACAACCTGTTCAGAGCTGCTGAAGTGACAGGCTTTGAACCCAGGCGGGCTGGCTCTGCAACCCAGACTCTCAACTGCTCTCTGGGGTGGGCAGGTAGAAGGACGCCCCGACCTCTCCCCTCATGGTCCCCAGAGTGCCACCCACGTGAGGGTAGCTGGGGGTTGGTCACAAGATTCTACCGCCATGTGTTCCCAACTTCAGGCGACAATGTTTTGTAACTAAATCTGCTGGCTGGCCATTTAATACCTGTGCCTGGGAAGAGGCCTCCAACTATTTGTTGGTTGCCAAGGGGTGGAGACCCAAACAGGGACAAGGAGTCAAAGGGACTGTCCAGTGGCAGGTGGACTGAAGCCTCTCAGCGTCGCGTTGAGGTCCAGGCAGCAGCAGGGGCCCCTGGGTGCGCTGCCCAGAGAGGCGTCCGACCGAGCTACCTGGGTCAGCCGTCTTCTCCCAGGACCCGCCTGCCCTGCTAGAGAGTTGGGCCGTCATCATCCCTTTTGTCTTTGCAAACAATCGAGCTTGGGAGCACGGCCGGCCTGACTCAGCGGTCAGTTTTGTGAGCTCTGAGCTGGCAGGGAAGCCAGGCCTGCTGTTGGCTGAGGGCAAGGTGGGAGCGGGAGTCTGGACAGCTCAGTCTGTGAACCAGTTAACCCCCTCCAGCCTGGCTGAACTTTCCCAGACTTTCTGGCCCCTATCATATGCCTCGGACAGCTCTAAAGAGCTCATAGCCCCACTTTTGGGCAAGGCCGCTGTGGATTCCTCGCCTGGCTGGGTCATAAATGTCAGTGCAGAAAGATTTGCCAAAGAACTTTGCTCTTGATGCCTTTTGCTGGGATTTCCCTCGCCCCCCGTTTTTCCTATTTTAAGTTGAACGGGATCTTTTGGGACCTGACTTGGCTGCACGTTTTTGTCATGTAGCTACATACTGGGCCAAGGCTTGGGCTTTGGAGAAGGCTTTCTTGGCAGGTGACAAATGGCCCAGTCACGGGAGGAGACATCTAGAGCCATGGGGCTGCCCAGTTGAGCATCCCTTTGCTGGCTGGTGAGACAGGGAGCAGCCTGCAGGCAGAAGTGAAGGTCTGAGCGGGTTGGAGAGGGCATAGGTCCTCGCAGAGCTTTGGGTCTGGCCTGCAAGGAGCCTCCTGGTGTCAAGGGGTGTCTTTTCATGCTTGGGCCTAAGCCTGCCAGGATCTAAAGTTGGTGCTGGGCCTGGTCACACTTGGAGCTCCTCCTCGGGTTATTTTTGAAGGGCAGCTGCTTCTGTGGGCACAGCCTACCCATCCCCATTCTTTTTTTTTTAAGATTTTTTTGGGGAATTGGGATGGAAACAGTGCTGGGGAATTGGGGGAAGGGGAACAGACAAGTTGCTGTCTTTTTGTTCTTCAGTCTAGTTGTGGAGGACGTTGCTTCACTGGCCCAAGTTGGCACCATCATTGCACTCTTCCCGGGTGAGGCAGATCAGTCGCTGGCTTCTTTCTGGACGGCCGCTCACGGCGGCTGCTGGCCGCTCACGCTGGCTGCTGGCTACACGCAGTAGCCCATGGCAACCCACTGCAGCAGGGGCTGCAACCTACACCATCGCCGGTGACTCATGGCAGCCCAGCTCCAGGTTGAGCTGTTGTTCAGCATCTTAGCTGTGGAGGGCAGTGTCACTGGCCCTCATATGTGGGATCCGAACCGGGGCCCTCTGGCGTCCCAAGCCGGCTCTTAACCAACGTGCCACTTGTCCGGCCCCCCATCCCCATTCTTAAGGGGGCTCTGCTGTGGGTTCCACTCCCGCTCGCTGTGAGCCCTGCTCTGAGCCAGGCGTGGGGCCAGGCCCTCGGGGCCCAGACGACAACACAGGGTCCCGGGGCTGCTGGGTATCATGTGCACTGAGTGCCAGAGCAAGGACTCGGGTCTGCCTGGGTTCGAGGCCAGGCCGAGCCCCTTCTCTGTAGGCTCCTCTCCCTCTCTGTGGTGGGGACTGTGACAGTGCCACCTTGCAGGGCTGACTTGAGGCCTGAGTGAGCGCCTGTGTGCAGAGCCGGTCAACTGGGGGCTGTGAAGACCAGGGATTTTTCAGTAAAGAGTCGCAGAGCCGCCCCATGACGGCCTGTCACCCCAGTTGCAGGCTCCGGGAGAGGAGAAACCTTGAGCTCTCGCAGTGCAGGTGCGGGGGCCTGAGCTGGGGCTCTGACACCGTGGTTCCTTCCACGAGGCGTCAACACCTCCCTCTGGCCAGTGTTTTGACAAATCAGAGCCAGACCCCTGGAGCTGAGGACCCTCTCCCAAGCAGCACTCACCCCATTTGGCCTATGATTTCAGGGGCCCCTACCATCCCTGTGTGAAGGTCCCCAGTGCCCAAGTTGAGACCTGCTTTTGTCCTCACCGGGCCATGGGTGTGTATATGCCCAGGGGTCTGAGGGGCGGGCCCGGGTCACCAGGGCGTGACAGGAGGTACAGAGCACACGAGGCTGGGCATGTAAAGAGCTATTCCCAGAATCATTCATTCACTGAATGTTTATTGAGTGCCTGCTGTATGCCAGGCCCTGTGCCTGGGACTCTGTGAATCAGAAAGACATGGTTCCCCACCGCAGGGCCGTCACTTTCCAGGGGGGAAGCCAGAGGGTGACAAACGTGTCTGCACAAAAGGGCCCGAAGGTGTGACGAGTGGGACTGAGCAGGGACTTCCTTGTGAGGGTGGAATATCCCTGCATCACGATTGGCACAGTGGGTGGACGATCTGTGCGAGTGACAGAGTGTCAGGACACACCAAAAAATGGTGAAATCCAGCCAAGCCTGGACTCTAGTTAACAGCCACGTGCCAGTGTCAGGTTCCTGGTTTTGGCAACGCACTGGGTTATAAGACGTCATCATTGGGGGACCTCTCTGTACTGTTTTGGCAACTTCTTGGGGTTCTATCTCTATTTCAGGATATGAAGTAAATAAAGCCAGGGGCGGGGTGCAGTGCCTTGAGGTGGCTTGGTGCCTTGGGGGCATGGCAGGAAGTGACGTCAGAGCCCGAGGCTGTGGCGGCTGGGAGGAAGCCAGTGCCCTCTCCCCCGGTGGGG